TCAGGACGGGTGTGACATACATACAGTAGCGCACCAACCAAACTTCTATACTCTCGAGCATCAGTGAGTACCTGTCATTTTTCATAAAACAGTCTTGATGAGCCGACCATTGGGGTAGCAACAGAGTTGGCATTTAACATATCTGCATGGTCAAGAAGCTCAAGAATATACTTCTTCTGTGAGAGCACCAATTTGCCACTACTTCTCTTAACCTCAATTCCAAGGAAAAAATTCAGCTCACCTAGGTCTTTGAGTGAGAAATCTCTTTGCATGAGTTGAATCACCCTCTCTACATCCTCCTTAGACTCACCAGTGATGATTATATCATCCACATAGACCAACACAAAGGTGTAACAGCTGTCCACACACTTGACAAAAAGTGACACATCCGCTACTGACTCAACAAATCCCATTTGTTGAAGGCTAACCTTGAGTTTATCGTGCCAATTTCTGGGTGCCTGTCGAAGCCCATACAAAGCTTTATGTAACTTGCACACAAGAGGTGATCCATCAGCAGCAAGCTCTTCGAACCCTGGAGGTTGATGCATAAACACTTTTTCATATAGCTCTCCATTCAAAAATGCATTGTTCACATCGACTTGTCACAAGGACCATTCTTAGAGACAGCAAGTGAGAGCACTATTTAGCGTGGCAAACTTCACAACTGGACTGTACGTGTCTTTGAAGTCGTAGCCAGGAACCTGAGAATACCCCTTGGCAACCAACCTCGCTTTATACCTTTGAACAGACCCATCTGGGTTCTTTTTTATCTTGAAAAGCCACTTGCATCCAACAATAGCACGTCCTTTGGGAAGGGGAACAAGAGACCACGTCTTGTTATCATGTAACGCGTTTAATTCAGCACGAATTGCAGCTGTCCAGTTAGAAGATTGTAGTGCAGCACGAACGGTTGTTGGAACTGAATCATCAAGAAAACTGGTATACACCTTTGGCTTAAAGATATCATATTGAAAAACTTAGACTAACTTTGATATTCAACAAACATTGAATGTATTTCCCATTTTTTCCAGTGATCACATACAAGGCTTTTATAGCAGATAACAGAAGCTTAACAAAATTCTAGAAGCTCAGTAACTGCCTGAACTAACTGCTAACAACACTAACTGCTCTTTAACTAACTCTAACTATTTAGTTCTAATATACACCATTAATTCTGACTTTGAATCAAGTAGAAGACAACTAGAAACACTTAATTCTTTAAGTAAGGTTAGGAGTTCGAACCCAGACGTTTGCAAATGGAGCAAATTGGGTTAGGAGAGTCGCTCTCGTCTCTGCAATACCCAATTTGAATTAGTCGGTCAATACATCAAATATCAGTATTAATTCAAAATATATATTCAATTAAAATCATTCTTATATGTTGCTTGTTCTTGAGAACAATTAATTATTATAACTTTATTAGCTAAAACTAGGTTAGATTTTTTGGGCGCATTTACTTAACTGACACCTTTTGTCTGTAATATTCCCTTTTTAACATCCGTTGACCAATATTTCCCGAAGTAGCACCTTTTCGGCTGACGTGGCACAAAGGCGTATCCCCAGGGATGCGCTTTCACGAGATTCTGATAACTCGGATGCCACGTGTGGAAGGCGCATCCCCGGGGACGCGCCTTCCATTAAATGTCATAAATGCCCCCATTCGTTTTTCCCCAACTACCACTCCTCTTCCCCTATATAAACCCTCTATATTAAATGCCATATAGCTCTCAATGTATGTATACCTAAATAATTTTTTTAATTTTTATTTAAAAATTATTTAATGATATTTATTTAATATAATAATTAATTTATTTATTATAAAAAATTAATTATTAATTTTAAAATATTATAATAATTCTACCTTCTAAGTAGAGAAACAATTTGAGTATTGAATTGAAAAGTTTGGAAAATTATTTACGGAAAATCAAAACGTAAGTCATTTTTACGAAAATAAAAAAGAAATTCTGTTGATAAAAAAATATTTTACATTGACCTTATTTTCCAAAAAATATGGTCAATTATTATACCCTAAAGTCAGTTATTAAATAGCTAAATGTGAATTTTTCCACTTTTTCCTATTGCTTGTTGAACCAAAAAGTATTGTTAATTTTTTTTCTATAATATAAAATTTTGTGTCGCAAAGAGTGTTGATTTCGTTTTTATCCCTTTATTTTTTCCGTTTGAGATTTGAATAGTTGGGTGACCGAAAAAGTGGAAAACATGAGGGTCCGATTTTAGCCATTTTTTCAACGGTATTGGTATTTAGGTGTGAACAAATAAAATGGGGCAACTTGGAATTTCCATAATTCTAAATTCACACCGTCAGAATAATAAGGCTATTCTTCCTACCTGCTTGGTCTTTTGGAGATTTTTAAAGAAAAGTACTCTAATATGACGTTAAAGAAAGATATAACTGGAAATGTTAATTTTATTTTAATATTTCTGGTGAAACATTACCTAAAATGTTATTTTGTTACTTAAAATATTAATCTTTTTAATATTTCTATTGCAACCAGAAATGTTATAGAAAAAGTAACATTTTCAGTTGCAACCGGAGACGTTAAAATATTAACATGTTGGATATCAAAATTAACATTTTAGGTAATACTCTATTAGAGATGTTAATTTTTTTTTTACATTTCTGTTTATATATTTATTTAACCTTATATTCGTTGTAGTACAACTGTTTTTTGGCATGGGATTCTTAATAGATTGCAACATTTTGAATCTTAGCTTTTTCTTAAAAAAATTAAACCCGTTGGATCGGTGATCAGTACATTTGAATTTAGCAACTTATAGTTTCACGTAAAAACATGTTTTTAAAAATATTTTTTTTTATTTTTTAGTGTTTGATTAATGGAAAATAAGATGGTCAATGTAAAATATTTTTTTCATCAACAAAATTTCTTTTTTATTTTCGTAAAAATGACTTACGTTTTGATTTTCCGTAAGTAATTTTTTGAACTTTTCAGTTCAATACTCAAATTTTTTCTCTACTTAGAAGGTAGAATTATTATAATATTTTAAAATTAATAATGAATTTTTTATAATAATAAAAATAAATTATATTAAATAAATATCATTAAATAATTTTTAAATAAAAATTTTAAAAAAAATTATTTAGGTGTACATACGTGGAGAGTTATATGGCATTTAATATAGGGGGTTTATATAGGGAAGGAGGAGGGATAGTTGGAGGAAAACGAATGGGGGCATTTATGGCATTTAATGGAAGGCGCGTCCCCGAGGATGCGCCTTCCACACGTGGCATCCGAGTCATCAGAATCCCGTGAAAGCGCGTCTCTGGGGATGCGCCTTTGTGCCACGTCAGCCAAATGGTGCTACTTCGAGAAATATTGGTCAACGAGTGTTAAAAAATGAATATTAAAGACAAAATGTGTCAGTTAAGTAAATGTGCCGAATTTTTGTATTTTTGAAACATATTCAGGATGATATATGTGAACCTATTCACCCATTATATGGAACATTTAAATATTTTATAGTTTTAATAGATATATCTATGAGATTATAATGTATGCGTTTATCAATATTTCAACTTGACATTTACGAGATTATTTGTGCTAATAATTAAATTAAGAGTATTATTTTCAAATTATATGATAAAGGAATTTTGTTTTAATTATATTGGTGAGTAAAAAACATGTGATTGAGAATGGAAATCAATAGAAAATTTATTATCTCCTCTTCCATTATGTTTTATACATTTTTTTCTTACTTTAAATCTCATAATTTTATAATAGACAAAATATTTTTATTAATAAATAATAAAATGTCAATCCGATTCTTTTAAAAGAATAGGGGTAAACAACATGTTTAGTACCTAAACTATTACTTTTGGTTCGTCTTGGTATACAAACTTTATTTTTTTCCAAAATCATACCTAATGTTTAGTTTAGGTTTCATTTCGGTATATTGCCGTTAAAAACTTGACGATGATGTTGACGTATCAACACACGATAATGTCACGCCGTCATTGAAAAAAAAATATCACATCAACAATTCTGTTTTTTTTAACAATGGGTACCAAATTGAAAACAAAACTAAACATTAGGTATAGTTCTGAAACAAAATAAAGTTTAAGTACCAAATTGTATCTCGGATGTAGAGGGAGATCAGATCTGGACTTCTGTAAATCACAGATCATGAAGTTTAATAGTTATGTCAAGAACTAATGCTCAACTAGCACAACTACTCCAAAAACTTGACTCCTCATTTTCCATAAATTACACCTGCCCGACACCCCTATCCAACATATTTGGATACAGGTACGAGATATGATTCTTTAAATATATAGCAAAAAATGGAGAAATGAATATCTATATTCGATACCGGCTCTCCCTCGAATCCGAGTAACATAGGAAAAAAGGATTAAAGGAACTCCTACTGCTTTCACTTCAGAATTACTTCCAAACTTGAGTTTATAACAGGTTGCTAGAACGTGGATTATCGATCAGATCTTATATTACCGGCTGAATGCCCTTTCCTCCTCAACCGAGTCCCGATATGATATCTCACTGTGAAAACTTCAAGATCAACTTGTCGACGTGATATATGATATCGTCTATGCAAGGGCGAACAGTTGCCTGAGGCTGAAGCATCCAAGTCACGAATTGGTGAAGTGCTTCGGGATACTGCGGTTTGGGTCCAGCTGGCCATTTTTCTGTGCATTTGCAATTGTCAGTTGCAGGCTTCCTCCAGATTCTTCAAGAGCATGCTCAAATGGGGATACCCCATACCTGCAACAAATGACAATGGATAATACAAGCAGATAAAAAAACGGTAACGACGCGTGCCGAAAAGGTTCAATACAGAGAATAAAAGCATAGCTCCGAAGACAAATTAAAGTATCTGATAAAGTATGTATCCTATAACAGCATTAACTTGTTTAAGGATAGCATTATACTACATCAAAGCAACAGTGACACTGCAAGCCAGACACACATGAGACTCCACAAATTGGGTTTATTCATAGACTTCAGGAAGTAAAACATGAAGCTTCATAAACGGAGATTTACTTATTCTTACATTATTGCATATAAAGTGCACCCCAACGACCAAATATCGGTTCGTTCATCAATATCTGTATGGCTTGAGCAATCCCACAACTCAGGAGCACGGAAAGGTGCTGCACAGTGCTCAGATGCCCATTCCTACTATATATGGAAACAAAACACAACCATGACCATCGTAGAAGAGGCAATAAGCTGATAGAGATGAATATTATTTCAAATTTAGGCGGAAAATATAACGATGACAACCATAAGCCAAGGCAGTAAATTATTGTAGCATTTAAAATCAAGAAAAAGTATATTTTTAACACATTTTATGATGAAGATAACTAAATGCGTCATTCAGATAAGCCAATTATGTACTTATACATCATTTTGTACATGTTTAAATGCACATATGTTTGTTGGTAGAACATGAAGCATACAGATTTAAGGAACTAGAAGAGCTTGCGATTATTTTTCAGCAAAGATGAGAAAGAAGTTTCAATACCGAAGAAAAATATTGGAGAAATAAGCACCTGAAGCTGTAGTGCCTCAGAACGAGAGCGAATTTGCTTCCTTGCAGGACGAGCACTCCCAAAATCCATTAATTTAGTAAGAGGTGTTTCCCCTTTTCTGCGAGTTATAAGAACATTACCAGGCTTGACATCATTATGTGCATATGGAGGCTCAAGACTGTGCATATGTTGGAGTCCGGCACACAGCTGTGGAAATAATTAGGGACAATCAAAATGCTTATAGCCATTTCTAATCAGTTATAACATTAATGAATCCGAAAAGAGAACACAATTACTAACACGTGACAAGAGAAGATATGAAAATAGAAGAATGCATCAGATCCACCGATAATAAGCGCCACATGGTTATCAACTAAATCTATATCGGAACATGGTTCAAAAGTAAGATAGTTTTACTTGCCTGCCGAAATATTTGCAGAACATCTGAGGTAGAAAAGAATTCGTTTTTAGCACTCATGGCTTTGGAATTGTCCAGTAATGTTCCATCCAAATGAACAGGAAATAGTAGATATGCTTCATGGTTCCATGATCCTTGTTGTGTAGGCTAGCCAGTTGAATCAAATTGTTTCAGACAAATACAATTGCATGAAAAGCGATTTAATGAAAGAAGAATTCATCTTGAAGAATAGTTTCTTTTACGGCGTAAATTAGAAAGAGATCTGAATAATTACCTGAACAGAAATGATAGCATGATCAAGAAGGGGAAGCAGATTACGGTGGTTAAACAAGGACGAAACACGGATCTCCTCCCGAACAAATTCTAAATGTTCGTTACTCTGAATGAAAACCTTCTTCATCGCGTAAGTTCCATCATCTACAAATGCAACCCGAGTAAGTTCATTCCAAAACCAGATTAATTTCTACTCCTTTGATCTAATGAATACACAAATACTAAATAAGACATTAAAATCCGGAAGACAGCATAGCAGATGATACCATCCTTGATAAATCTCGAAACAAAGAAAGGTTAGCAAATCCATTTAAGATGTAAATTCAGATATCAAGGGGGGAAATGCAAAAAATTGAAATCTGATAGGAAAGAAGTCAAAAAACTTCATAAAACTGAAAACATGATGAATCCATATTAAGAACGATATTCTAGTAAAACGCCATAGTTTTACCAACAGAACAGAGATCAAAGATCCAACCGATCCTAATTTTAATTATCGATCCGATTTGATAAAATGTTCGAAATTCTTATAAAGCAGCCACATAATATCAAACTTCAATCATATAAACCAGAATGAAAGGAATATATACATTCAGTAAAAATAGTTGACACGTGAATTCAGTTAAATTTTCTACCCAAGAAAATCACAAAAATCAAATCCAAAGAAGAAAACAACACCGCACAATCTAGAAAAACATAAGATTCAAACTAATTAGTAACTCAAAGCAATGCCAATTAAGAGTGAAAGGAAGATCCAGATCACAGGAAAACCAATCCACTAGAGAAACGACCAAATCATAAAATCTTTAACGAACCAGAGAGATGAGAAGGGTCCTTGACTTTGTTGGCTAATCCACCAGCTGAAGCAGAAGAAGAATCGGGGATGGCTTCCTTAACCATATAAACATAAGCGAAGCCACCTTCACCCAACTGCCTCACGATCTTGAACCGGTTTTCGTTGATCCAAACGTCCCCTCCGACATTCGTGGAGTCGTATAATGCATTCAGCCCTGAAAATGTACACCCCATTGTTTTTTTCTTTTCCCTTTTGCCTTTCAACTGAAGAACATAAAAAAATCCTTTATTTTACAGAATCAAAGATGACATATTTTGGGTGTTGGAATTGAGAAACGTAAAAATGGCACTTAAGAAGCTCTCTCACTCCTCTTCAGTCCTCTCTTTGGGGAAATTATTTTTAGTTCATAGATTTCACCATTTAAAGCTTTCATTTGCCTGTCAACCATAAGCTTATAACTGTTATTTTTTTTTTTGACCGTAAAGTGTCGGTTGCATTTCCATTAAAAATTAAATGTTTATTTTATTTTCGGTGGTTTATTTTAGATTGATCATTGATGATTTATTTATGCTAATTTTTGTAGGCTAAATTGAAAGGGGATAATGATTAGAAAATTAGATAAATATTCTTTTTAATTTATCTCTGGCATTTAATCTAATAATTAATTAATTTAGATCGAATTTTGATTAAATTCATTATAGTATGATCATTCTAACTGAATTTGTTTCATCATAAATATAAAGTTTGAACTTTGGATTAAAAATTAAATATTTAGTTTATTAATTTCGGTGGTTTATTTTAGATTGATCATTTGACGATTATTTATGCTAATTTTTGTAGGTTAAATTGAATGGGACATTGTTATTAAAAAATTAGATAAAAATTGATTGTGATAAATTATTTAAGGCGATATCATTAATGTTATAATAAATTATAAGGTCGTTGATAATTTAAATCGATATTGATAATTATTAATAATCTATCTTTTATAATTTTATACACCCTACAGGCACAGTTATTCAAATTTGAGTTCTCCAGCAGAGACCTCTCAATAGATACAAAAGAAGCATAAATAAATGAAAGAAAACTGAACAAATTTAGCAACATTGATTTAACATGATAGAGACACAGGTTGGTTAAAATAAAAGCACATACTCTTGGTTACAATGAAATATCAAGTTAAGCAAAGCTCGTTGCGAATAGAATCAGAAGATGGAATCTCAAAGACTTATATTATATAAATATGAAAATCACAACAATTTCATTTCTTAGGTTAATTAAAAAAGAGATGATGCAAGCTCTGATATATCCGCTACTATCTGGCTATACTTGTCCTTTATCTTTTCTTGCCCTGCTGGGTCTAGTTCGCCTTTGGACGGCTTGGTTAGCACCAGAACGCAGCACGTAGGTCTCTTGGTAGCTCCTGCGGTTGCAAGTTCCTGAGAGGGCAAAAGAAAATAATCAAACAGGTCACATGGGAGATCGCTGATAGCTAGTATATTTCGGGTTAGAATTCTGGGATGTGCTCGCCTAATTGGACTTCAGTATGGACTACAACCAAGGGTCTTCGTGAACTTAGAAAACATCAAACATTGATATACCATTGTGTTTGCCAAACATATTAATGCATCTCTAATAAATAAAGAATAAAATGAAATGAAAAATCAATAAGCAATGAATTAAGGTGTTCGGATTTTGATAGTCAAGCAGCAATGTCACCAAAATCAGACAGCAGAACAGAGGTCCGAAGCTTACTTCTTTTGAAGGAACATAAATATAGGGAATATCGGCCTCTTCACATAGGATTGGAACATGAGTTATGACATCAATGGGAGATATGTTTCCAGCTATAACACATAACCTGCATCCAGTAAAAAATAGACCGAAGCATTTCTGCAATTAACATTTGATTTTAAACCACTTTTCGTAAACTCAAATTTTAGATTGAATTGTAGAAAAGAATGCCCTTTTATTCAACAATTGGCAGCACGATTGCTGCAAAAACAAGCAGTATCCATGTATATACAACCATGCAGTAATAGTATTAGTACAGAAAATTTTCAGATGACTATAAAAACGAATATTCTTCTCTTAAATATTCCCATAAGCATCAGTAGTAACTATGAGGATAATGGTGATGATATAACAGACATCATTTACAAGCATGATCAAATCCAAACAAGGTTATGGAATACTTAATCCATGGAATGAGTATTTTTAACTCAAGTTCATGTTTAGAAACTTTGTCAAACAAGCTTAGAACAATTAAGTAATCAAAGTATTTAGTTTAAGTCAAATTTATAAAATATTTTACCCCTTATGACCGCGACGAATGCTTTTAACAACTTCCTTTACTCCTCTCTTCAAACACTTGTGCTCAGCAGCTACAACAAGAAAAAGCAATGCATTCTTTGAATACTCATACACCACCCCAAAAAAATCCATCATATAAATTGTGAAAAATTCAACTATTAGAGCTTTGGGTTTCTCTGTTCACGGATAAAATAGCATATAATGATTTTGGTTAAAAGAAAAGAGTTGAAGAACAAATTTAAAAAAAAAATACCTCTGCGGACGAACTTAAGGGTTTTCTTACAGAGCTTTTTGCCAGCGAGTGGCTTTGCAATGGGAGCAAGAGCTAAATTCTTCTTCCTCTCCTTCTCCTTCCGCTCCGATTTGTCGGCTACGCTATCGCTTCCCATTTGGCTCTTCTTTTAACAATGGAGAATAAAGGGAGTAGTTCGAAAGAGAAAAGGAACACAAAGCTTGTGAAATTAGGGTTTTTGTAAGTCTACGGTTTCCCAGGGTTTAAGGTTGACTATTATCAATTATTTATCTTAATGGGCTTTTCTAGTATTTAATTGACCATCCAATCCCTCTCATTTAGAAATGGACCCTTAGTGGGTAATTATTCATAAATATTCTATTGACCCAAGTGATATAAATATTTTCAAAATCTAATCGAAATTAGAATATTTATATTAAATGTGTAAATATTAACAGAAAGTTCACATTTCTTGATTATTAACCTATTATGATGTTATATTTTATTTTATTTTTTAAATTTACATGAAAAATCAATCTGAACTTAATTTTTAAGGAGTATTAATAGTAAATTTATTATTATAGTTTTATTATAAATGAAGGAATTTAATAGGTTTTAGGTTAGATTTGTTGCATTTGAAGTGTTTTCGATTAAATAGACATCAAATTCATGTTAGAAGGTCAAATAGAAATGAATGAAAAAATTTAGAGCCTAATAATCGTCAGTGACGATGTTTGATGTTTCCAAAGACGGTGGTGAGTGACATGGAACTTTGATTGAGTTAAAGGGTTAAATTGATATTTTATCTAAAGTTTAGGGGTTTAGTTAATATTTTATCTAGAATTTAGAGGTAAATTAAAAAATAATTATTTTTACTAACATGTTACATCATCAAATCACCAAATTAACATGAGTTAACTGCTTAATGATTAAATAAGATAAACCCAAAAAAATGACCAAAACGTAGTTTTTTAAAAATTAATTATCAAAATAAGGTGAATAGAAATAAAATAAAAAAAATAACCGTTGTATTTTACCCTTTAATTAATTCTAAATTGATCCTTATCTAACTTCATCTGTTGAATATGCAGTCTGGTTATTTTCTTTAGTGTAAAGCATTTGACCCATTTTTGTCTCTGCATTTTGTTAAATGGGGGCCTCGTGTTGCATTTCTATGCTTTGTTTATGTATTTATAAAACCAAAATTTCCAATATCATTTTTTTTAAGGTGAAACGGTTATGAGGCCACTGTTATTTTCAAAAAAATTAATGGGCCACTCAATTATTTTTATATTTAATGTGATTCTTAAATTTAAAAACAAAAAAATCAATATGGTCTTTTGACCAACGGTTTCTATATTGACTGTTACGATGTTGACGTGAAATTTTACGTTGTTGATGTGATAACCTACGATGTTGACGTGGTCTACAATACTGACACGACAGTCTATAATAGTTAGTGACGTGGTAGATGAGTTAAATTAATTTTTTTTAAATTCGATAGTCAAATTTATTTTTCAAAAGGTTTAGAGGCTTATTTGATTTTTTTTAAATGAAAATATTAATAAAACCTAAGCAAGTTTAGGGGCACTGATACCAAATAGTCCCGTTGATCTGAGGATCGAGTGTTGAAATCAAGTGATTTTTAAAATTAAATAAAACTGGAATGAGAAAATTGAAATAAAATTTTTTTAGAGAGAATTCTTTTAATGAGGAAATGAGGTTGTGCCTCTTAACATAAATTAAGAGCCTTTTATAAGAGTTTATGCCTCTTTTTACATCTTTTATCAGCTAATAGAAATGACTAAAGTTATGCAATAATTCAAAAGATAATAGTTTGAACCAATGTCTTGTTGGATTCTCGTTCTTTTGCCTTGTAATGGAATCAACTTTTACTATTTGATCCATTATGGCTTGTAGGAACAATAGTGTTTGGCTTGCATTTCTTGATCCATTATCATGGACTATTATTCATCTTTGTTTTGGTGTTGCATGGAATCTTGAATGCTACAACTTTTACTATTTGCTTCATCATGACTTACAAGGAACAATAGTGCTTCCATTATTATGGATTACTACTCATCTTTGTTTTGGTGTTGCATGGAATCTTGAATGCTTTTCACACTTTTTTTTTTACTTTTTCTTTCTAGTCTTGATAATCTCAATTGTGATGATCCACTGTTTTAACTGATGAGGTTTGGGAGTTTTGCTCTCCATTTTCTGATTCAGATTCAAAAACTCATTTAACTTAGCATTTATGTCATCAATTTTTTGTACTCCTTCTTATTTTTTGCTTGAGCTAATATCTTATTAGCATTCGATTTTGCTTGTAAAAATCTTACTACGTCTTTGTCTGGAGAAGTTGATTTGCAGAGACTTGGATTTTTGACAAAAAAATTATCCAAGTATTTGGAATCATACTTTTTGTCATTGAATTTGTCCCACAATTTAGTCTAAAAAGCTCGAATCAAATATGAAATTCTTAGGTAGTCATCACGATCATATTCATAACTTAAGGAAACAAACCAAGAGATGTATAATTTTGAGGAAAAATGGATACTTGTGTAGAGGTGTTTTTGATCCATTTCGGGTTAGTATTTGTCAAAGAATTTGGACCAAATGTCTATGATTTTTTGAGGTAATATTTCAAAATATGGTCCATACCAATTCCACCATTCTTGAAACCAGTTAGGAAATTTATAATATTATCCATACTTGAAATATATGAGCCATAAATGTCTCATATATTGATTGTTCATCAGGAATGTTGCATACTAGGTGCATGGTAGTTCAAGTACGAGAAATGAGTACAATGAGAATTTTTTTTCAGAAAATGATGTTGGAAGTTTCAGTTGATGGGCTTTTACTCTAATCTTTTGGTCTAAGGACTTTGATTATTTGAGATGTAGAATAGGTAATAAAATTTGAATATTTTGGATCAGTGTAATGTTTAATTGCCATAGATCATGTTTGGATTAAAATATTTGTATAGTTCATGGGTATTCCCCATGTTTATTGACATAAAATGGGATCCATTAAAAATTTGTTTAACCAAAATAGGTGGAAGTTTACTGGAAAAATCAATATCATCCTTTAATGCAAGAATATGTTCAACATCTTTATTTTGAAAATATTGTGAAAAATTTTTAGTAGAATTTTGTGAATCACTATTTGTTTTAAAAAAAAATTCTTGAAGAGATGTTTGTTTTGAAACATTTGTGAGAAACTTTGGTTTATGTAAAACTAATCTCTCTAATTTTTGAAGCTTCAACAGTAATTTTTTGAAGAGGACTTTCGTCCTTAATTTATGCAAATATTATTGCAACTTCTAGAGCTTTAGAAAGAGACTCAATCCATTTTTGACTTGAGATGACATCTTATTTGGATCTTTAGCATCTTGGATAGATACACTAGCTGAAGATTTTGTCGAAGTGGTTTCTTCATTTGTTTCTTTTTGAAAAATTTCGGACCAAGATTTGATTGGTTTTACTAAAATTGAGTTTTTTATGTTGTTTCTTGCATTTTTTCTGAACTTCAAACGGTTTAGCCTTAACCATATTAATGGTCCAAGATTATTGGTTAATAGAGATTCAAAGTCGATGTACCAATGAATCACGAAATGTTACGGTTCTTAAATATGATTTAAAAATTTATTCAAAGTCATTTGCATGATCATGCACTCTTTGCTTTCCTAGTTATAATGAAAAAAGTACAGTTGGGTGAATCCAACTTTTTCTTGAAATAGAAAACTTGCACACACCCCCTTTCCAAAAAAATCAATACACCGAAGACTAGCTTAGATTTATTGGATTTATTGCTAAAATATTTGTATTAATTTAAAATATTTAAAATAAATAAATAAACCCCTAAACTTTAAAAAAAACAATTTATCCCTCGAATTCAATAAAAAAACCAATTTAGTTTATTTGTCACGTAACCAACCATCGCGGATCGTCATGTTAACACCGTAAGCTATCATATCAACACCGTAAAATATCACGTCAACATCTAACGGTTAAAGTCGGAAACCGTTGGTCAAAAGACCACATTGAATTCTTTTTCTAAGTTTGAAATCCACATTGAATGCAAAAATAATCCGATGACCACATTGATTTTTTTAAATTACAAGAGCCTCATGTATCCTTTTATATATTTTTTAAACAATATGATGTTATTATAAAAAGGTATTTAAAATTTCTCTAAATCTATTAATAATATATACACTTTTCATATGTAATACTCCAATCAAAATCTTCTTAAAAGAATAATATTTTATTTTATTCAATGAAATGTTGAAATTCGAATTTATCAGTGGATAAAAGAAATGCTTTCTGTTACGAAAAAAACAAAGCAAACAATATATCTTCACACATTTCACAGGCAAGCTTTGGAGTTTTCCATATTTCAGGGCTTACTTTTCTTGAAAGTACAAACAGTTCACGCCATATCAAATGCTAATGATCCTCCTTTCCCCCTAAGTTCGGTGCTTAAAGATCATCCGTTACATACTGTATTTCATATCCATATAACTGTGTATTTCACATATAACTGTGTGGTTATGCATTTGTTGAAGATGGCTTACACTATTAGCCTTACAAAAGTAATGATCACATTGATGTTCCCCATTTTCATCTTTCTCATCCATGTTCCTTCAATGGTTCTTTCTCAATCATTCAGATCACTTCAACTGCCGCCTAAGGCCGTCGGTCCGGAATCCATCGCATTCGAGTCCGGTCCTGTAACCGGACGATTCTATGTCGGGATAGCTGATGGTAGAATTCTACAGTTCAACGGACCAAGAGTTGGATTTCTGAACTTCGGATTCACCAGTCCAAATAGGTGATTCTTTTGATTATGGTGGAATTGTTGATGAACATATTTATAGTGCTTGAATTTTCATCTATGATTATGAACACTGATACAGGTCTAAGCAGCTGTGTGATGGCACTACTGATCCAAATATGGGGCCAATTTGCGGAAGGCCTTTGGGTTTAGCATTTCATTACCCCTCGAACAAGCTGTATGCTTGCGATGCTTATTTCGGGCTCGTGGTGTTAGGTTCTGCCGGAAAACAAGCGACCCGAGTTTCCGACACCGCAGACGGACAGTCTTACCGTTTTTGCAACGGTTTAGACGTCCACCAACTCACTGGAAATGTTCTTTTCACAGATACGAGCTCCGTCAATGATCTAAGGTTCTTTCTTCTATCTGTAGCTTTGCATGCTATCATGCTGTGAATATCAAAGATGAAAAGACCATAACATTTCAATATAGTCACCATTCGAATCCCTACCTATTGTTTCATTTACATGCAATGATTAATTATATGTTGCAGAAATGCCTCCAGGGCATTGAACACTAATGATATAACGGGGAGATTATTGATGTACGATCCCGATACGGACCGAGTGAGAGTGTTGATGAAGAACCTCTCGGGGCCAGCCGGAGTAGCGGTTAGTCAAGACGGGACCTATGTCCTGGTCTCCAACTTCATTGGCAACAATACTATAAGGTATTGGCTCCGAGGTCCTCGAGCCAACACATATGACTCCATAGACTTCCAGGAAAGACCAGATAACATCAGGAGAACAGTGGTTGGAGACTTTTGGAGGGCGGCGGCGATGGTGAAACAGCCGGCACAGTCGTTGATTCCGATTGCGCAAAGGATGGATGTGATCGGCAGGGTTTCTCGAACCGTAAATTTGGAAGCATGGTATGGAAATACATTAATTAGCGAAGTTCAGGAGTTCGGTGGTGAACTATATGTAGGATCACGGTTTACGTCATTTGTTGGCGTCTATCGATTTTAGTTGTTAAAATAATAAGATAAAATTTAAGATAAATATAAAGTATAATTTAATAATTTATTAGATTTTATTTAATCAAAATTTTTATTTAATTTTAATATAATTATTAAAAGTAATAGTTTAAAATATAATAAAAAATATAATTCAAAACTAATTTGTATAGTATAAATCATGTCATTGCGAATATGATATTTGAATTTATTTTCACGATATCAATAAACATTACGATTTAAATTTTGACTTTAAATTAATATATTAAATTATATTATGGATTTTATTGCTAGTGTATCAATAATTTTAGTTCAATTAATGAACTCCTGTAAATTAATAAAAAAAAGTTTAAGGGTGTCAAAAGATCTTAAACTTTCACCCTTAAATTTTAAAATTTTATTAATTCATCCATTTAACTAATATTAATCGTTAAATCTGATATTATTTTTATGACATGGTACAATTTTTATTTATTTAAAAATTAACAGTACCGCATAATTATACATTAATTAAATATTATATTTAAAATTTTAATCTAATTTTTAAACATAACTAGAGGTATATCTAGTTCTTTGTATAACATGTTAATTTTATTATCTTTGTCTTAAATTTATTTTTTAATTAAACTAATATCAATAGACTCGTGATATTAATCTATTTAAAAAATATATATGAATATCTAAAATTTAGGTAAATAAATAATTTGTTCTTAAAATAATTCATTAACTACGAGACTTAGGTAAGATAATAAGGGATTTTTCAACTTTAACTGGTGATCGAATGTTTGATTTTTGTTCTAGATATGGAGTAGCTTTAAAACTTGTGACTAATATATATCCTTATTTATTCTAGCAAATCACAAAAGATTAATCATTAGTTTCCTTTCAGTGCATATCATAAAAAGATAAAATAAATAAATTTATTTCTTAAAAATATATCTACATAGAGGTATTTATCCTGAAAAAAACACCTTTTCTATTTAATATTCTCGATCAGACAATGTTCATACTATATTTTTTGATCTAACACCCTTTGCAGAAAGGCGCGCTCCTTACAGCGCGTTTAACGTCGATTTGGCGCCACGTGGGGCACGGGACGCGCCTTATGCTGACATTGGATACACGTGTATATAACGCGGCCCCTGGGGGGCGCCTTAGGCCACGTAGGGTATAGCGCGGGTCAGGGGTCACGCCTTAGCTTTATCTGATATAATTATGTAAGGCGCGGTGTAGATACCGCGTCTTGTATAATTATAATAACTTTTCTCGGCTATAAATACACTTCCCCTTGGAACTCCTCACATCTCCTCTCAACAGAAAAAAAATTAATACAACAATCCGACAATCTTCTCATATTTGATTTAAAAGTCGTTCGATTTTTCGTTATAAGGTAATTTTATTATAATTTTTTTATTATACTTATTGTTTATTATGATTATATGAAAAAAATATTATACTAATTGTTGTCAATTAATTTGTGTTTGTAAAATTGGAAAGCGGGAACATACGTCGAAATAGTTTTGCGGTGCAGATAATAATATAAAATTATATTATTTAAATTATTTACGTTTATGTGTAAAAAAAATATTGTGTTATATTTTCGTTCATATATTATTTATTTAATCAAGTTTATTTCAGTTGTTTTTTTTTTTGCAGATATAATATTGCCGCACTTTTAAACTTAAAGAATAACACGACTTTCAGCTATTGTTTATTATGATTGTGAAATTCGAGAAGATGAAATCGGCGTAGTTTTTGTATCAAATGAGCGTGTTAAAATATCATTCAAGAGAAATATAACTCTTGAGGAGCTGATAACGAAGATTTTGAGGAAGATTCATGTTGGAAGTAGTAGAAGAATGTCGTCGTTGCAGTATATATTTCCAACATCATTGTTGCCATTAACTTATACAACATTCAAACTTTCGAACAATGATGATGTTGAAATGATGGTTGAAGCTCAAAGTAATTATTCAAACGCCGATATTGAGATGTATGCAAATTTTGTTCAAGTGCGTGCTGTTCGGGGTCAATCATTAAGCTCCCACTATGGGTTGGCTGAACAAGTTGACAGCTAGACGACAGTAATGTGTAATGATTTGAATGCCATAATGGGGAGATATTCATCCGCAACTCCTTACGATATGTACTGAGGTGGGGCGATGAACAATCCGTATGGCAACATCGCGTCCAGTTCAAGGGGAAGACATTCATCTGCAAATCCCTTTGACCTTAATATGGAGATGCCATCGACACAACAATCTGTGCAGTTTCCATTTGACACGATGGCTTCAAGCTCGAGGGGAATGCATTCGACTACGAGCTTTTTTGATATCAATGTCGATATGCCTTCCAGTTCAAGTGGAAGGCGTGCAAGTAGTAGGTTCTTAATTAAAATCAATCCAACCATATTAACGAATTAAAATAAGTATTAAATAATAAATAATAAAAAAATTACAATAAAAAAGTCTAATAAACAACTACAATAAAAAAGTACTAAATACAAATATAATAAAAAAAATAAAATCTATCGATGCCTACGACGCGAATGTGTTCCGCAGGGCGGTGGATGTCGGTCTCGAGGAGGATTTCTTCGTATCACTGGTTGTGACTCCTCGCCGTCATCATCATCGCCATCGTCGTCGTCGTCGTCCTGAGCAGCTACATTTTGTTGATGAAGAGCTGATGACGACGAAGCACCTCCATAGAATAATGACCCTCGAGGTGTATGACTGACTATCCCACCGGCCTGTGAAAACTGAGAAAACTCATAAAACCCAAACATCGATGAGTGTGAAAACTGTGCAGGAGGTGTCTGTGCTACGGCCATGGGTGATAAGGTTGAACCCGCCAAATATCCAACATATGAACCCCAAGTCGAATCTACAAACATAGACCCATAATAGCCTCCATGAGGGGTCATAAAACTCTGTGACGGTGGCGGCAACGGGGTCATAAAACCAGGTGAAGGCGACGGCTGCGGATCTGGTAATGCAAAGGCGGCGGCGACATCATATATGGCTGCGGTATGTAAGTCGATGGATACGGTAGTTGCTGTGAAAGTCATGCTAGTGTAGCTGAAGATGAACCGGAAGCACATGCTCTACGTGTCGGTGAACGTCTCTGTCGACGTCGTGGAAAGATCTGCCCTCGTGCATCCTCGGAAAGCAGAAACGGTTTCCCGTTACTGTTGAACCACTCATAATAACCGTTAGCAACCATCAAGAGGTCAAGTAAAATGAGCTCTTTACGGGGAAGGCACCGATGTCGATCCTCCCACAACACGACCCACTCATGATGCCTGACCAGCCAATCTGTATATGTCTTACCGATTCTATTTATGCTATGCAACTCGTTCATATTGCGAGGTGCTTCCGGAATTGGTTGAAAACAACCAAATTGCCGGAGCACGCGATCAGTAGAGTGCCACTCGACGGTCGCATAACAGATCAAAGGGATCATCGCTATCCAAACATCTGATGGGCTCCTCAACTCAGGTGGGATCACCGTCCTCACATCATGAGTAGAATATGACACACATTCAAACTAAAACAAATATATATAATTTTTATCAAAATAATAATCTAATTATATAACTATAATATAAAATCGATTTTTAAACATTAAAATTCATACATGTGTGTCAGCCTTCTGATCGATTAACACACTAATTTTTTTCTAAATCATCAGGTAGCTCCTGATGATTTTTCCTATCAGTAGACCACCTATTCAAGGAAAAAATTTATTATACGTTGTATCAAATGATTAATAAAAGAAATCAGTTTTACAATTACCTCGATAGTAGTGGAAATACGAATGGGTTCTTGACAACGGGGCATAAAAAATGCAATCGATACCATGCCCAATACTGCAGCAATAGGAGACATCCGCCAATAGCATTTCTCCTGTAGTCAATGGCTCGACACATCTCCCTGTACAAGAAATCCAAAACTGTCGAGCCCCAACTGAGTGATCCGACCAGATGAAAGTCGCTAAGATGTCGCAACCACGTGCAGTGAACTTGGTTACGCGATTTGTCTGGCATCAGCAATTCTCTTATCAGCTGCAGTATGCATGCTCGTACATACATTTTAACTTCATCATCAGAGGCGTCCTCGCTCAAATTCCGAAAATTGGCATCTAACCAATTTAACGGTATCCGACCACCGTTAAAATTTTCCAGGACACGACCTAGATTTTTCCGGCACAAAGTAGTCCAGGAACCCTGCACGATCCCTGATATCACATCTCCATCCACCGGAAGCCCCAGGTGCATAGCAACACCCTCAAGTGTAATCGTGCACTCTCCGCACGGAAGATTGAATGTGTGGGTCTCCGGCCTCCACCGCTCTACTAAGGCATAAATAAGGTATTGTTCTATCTTACAGTGACCCTGATATCTACCTATGTAACTGAATCTAGCGTCTACTAAATACGGCAAGACACATCTAAGTATCACTAACTTAAGGTTCCTAATAAAAGGATTTAATACATGATCCTTCTCCTAAAATTAAATAATTACATAAATTAATTCTTAATCTAATAATCATGCATTAAATAATTCAACAAATTATTACTAATAATTTAAATTAAATTAAAACGTTAAAATGTTATTGTATCAGCAAAGTGTCGAGATATATGATTTTCATCCAAGCGAAGTAGACCGCCTTCCATTATATATCTGCAAAAAAAATTATATAAGTAAAATATTAAAAATATAATAAAATATACCTTAAACAGAGAATATAAGAGTATATTAGAGAAGTTGAGAGAAATTGAGAGAATTTGGTGTGATGAAAATGATTGAAGATGGGGTATTTATAGGGAGGGATTAGGGTGTGAAGCGTCGGGATATGTGGGTAATTAAACCTAAGACGCGCCGCAGGGGGCACGCCTTACTGACGCATGGCATATTCACAGGTAAGGCGCAGCCCCTACCCCGCGTTATACCCTATGTGGCGTAAGACGCGACCTAGGGGCCGCACTATACACACGTGTATCCCATGTGCCTTATC